GGATATTTAGGTTTGAGGGCTCAGCGTTTCAGGGTGTCGGACTGGGGGTTTTGGATTAAGGAGTTCGGGCTAAAGGCCCTACACGCTAAGTACCTAAGCCTAATGCATCCTCTTCCCCTTCCCATCCCCCTCCCCCTTCCCCTTCCCCTTCCCGTTGCTTCTCTCCTCTGCTCTTCTCTTCTTTCTCCCTCCGTCCTCCTCTCTGATCTGCCTTCTCTCTCTGATCTCCCTTTGTCTCTCTTCTCCCTTCTCTTTGTTTCGCTCTTCGTTCCTCTCTTTTCCTTCTCTCCCTCCCTCTCTATCACACTCCCGCTCTCACTCTCACTCTCTATTGATTGCTGTTGACATTGGCGCTGAGTTTAGTGGCTGTGTTGCCGTCCTTAGAGTCAACCTTGCTGCTGTTGTTCACCCACAGCTACAACCTATAAACCCGAAACCCTAAACCCTAAGCCTAAGCCCTAAGCCTTAAACCCTAAAGCCCGAGCCCGGATCCTAAACCTTTGGTGGGCCTACTTGCAGCCTTCGGCTTAGTTTTGTGCCATGGAAGAATTGTGACAACATGATATCGCAACCTTGGGGTTCGGGGCTTCGGGTTTAGGGTTTAGGGTTCAGGGCTGGGTTTAGGGTTTAGGGTTTAGGGTTTAGGGTTTAGGGTTTAGGGTTTAGGGTTTAGGGTTTAGGGTTTGGGGGGGGTTAGGGTTTAGGGTTTAGGGTTTAGGGTTTATAGGTTTTGGTTCACCAAGAAATAAACCGAGGGTTTTTAAACAGGAAGACGAGAGGAAGAGGATTTTAGGGTCTAGAGTCTGTGTTTTCCCTACTGTTCGGTTTTGGGTTCACAATACGACAAGGAATCAACATCTTCCATTCCCACGAGCCCACTTGAACATCGATCCGGGAGCGCAAGGCATGTCAGAAAACTCTCAGCTTGGCCTGAATCGCCCGAAACCTAAACCCTGGACTCTAAAACCGAAGCCCTGAACCCTAAAACCTCTAAGCCCCCAAAATCACTAACCCCCCTTGAACCCTCTAAACCCCCTAAACCCCCTAAACCCCCTAAACCCTTAAACCCTAAACCCTCTAAACCCTACACCACAACCCCTAAACCCTATACTCTAAGCCCTAAGCCCTCGCAAAACCCCCCAACCATGAGCGGAGCGGGGCGACGCGACATCTCTGGCTACGAGCGGGCCGTGTCGGCGCTGACCGGGTTTCCTGGACTGAGTACTGGGGGGGAGGGGGGGGGGGGGGGGGGGGTCCAGGGTTTAGGGTTTGGTTGAGAGGGAGGTTTATCGGGCTTTCCAACTATATGGTGGCTTATAGGGTTGGGAATATTTTGGGGTTGGGAACGTTGGTTTTTTGGGGTCCAATAGCAAGTTTGGCAAATCCCCCCCCCCCCCCCCCCCCCCCCGCGCCCTGCCCTCCACCAAACCCTAAACCCCCAAACCCTAAACCAAACCTCAAACTCCAAACCCTAAACCCTAACCCCCCAAACCCTAAACCCTAAACCCTAAACAAAGCCCTGTACAAGGTTTTGGGATGGTGGGGATCCTTGGGTGGTCATCTTTGCAATGGGCCCAGGCTTCAGGGTTTAGGGTTTAGGGTTTAGGGTTTAGGGTTTAGGTTTAGGGTTTAGGGTATGACGTTTAGGGCTTAGGGTTTAGGGCTTCCAGGTTTTTCCGGGTTCAACAAAACTTATGCCATGGCTCCTGCTCAGGTATGTGGCTGGTTCCATCGTGGCCGCTTCGCAGCATGTTGGTGAACCCTTGGAGTGTTCTGGCTGGGGGTGGGCTCGGAGTCCTGTCGCTTAGTGTCGGTAGGGATCAGGCACCCTAAGTCTAATAGTTCAAGCCCCCTGCTAAGAGCCAGGAAGTACGCAGCCTCCAAGCTAGACCCTGAAACCGGAACCCTAAACCCTAAGCTCTAAACTGGAACCCTAAACCCTAAACCCTAAGCTCTAAACTTTAAATTAAAACTCTAAACCCGAAACCCCCAAACCTACCAGGGGTTTTGGGTAGGTTTGGTCCCCTTGCGAGGTCGTCCCTTTCGATCGCATCAAGACCCTGATGCAGGCCAGATGCGACCCTAAACCCTACACCCCTAAACCCTAAAGGGTCCATTACATAGAGAGTCCCTAAACCCTAAACCCTAAACCCTAAACCCTAAACCCTACACCCTAAACCCTAAACCAAGTTGCGACCATGCCCCCTGGGAATGCTCGGTGCCACAAGAGGGCAGGCTGTCGGTTTAGGGTTTAGGGTTTTGTGTTTCAGGTTTATATAGGGTTTCGGCCTAGCTTAGGGTTGAAGGCTTAAGGGTGCAACTTGCTTCAAGGAATCAGGTCAAAGGAAGCTCACTACATCGGATTCCCTTTCATTATGTCTAGCACGTTGGGAACACTTCGCGTAGGGGAGGATTCTGGTTTTCGGTCTGTCAACTCGGTTTGTGTTAAAGCCAAAAGCGTGATTGGTGAGTGGTCGCTTTGTTTAGTCTCTTCAGCTTGCAATCTTGATTTTGATTCTACAGGTTTTGCCTGCATTCAGCTCGCAACCCTAGAGCCTATCGCCACTAGACTGCAAACCTGCATGTAGGGCTCTAGTGCGTCTGGCTGGGGTTTTAGGGCCTAGGGTTCCCTTGCCCGGGGCATGACCAACACACATACATCCCTAAACCCTAAAATCTAAACCCTAAACCCTAAACCCTAAACCCTAAACCCTAAACCCTAAACCCTAAACCCTAAACCCTAAACCCTAAACCCTAAACCCTAAACCCTAAAAACCCTGAACCCTGAACGCTAACCAGGCGTCGCCGGGAGCGCACCCCTGCGCTCGGCAGCTGCTCGGCGACGCACGGGATGTTGCGAGTTCAGCGCTGCGCATCTCGAAGCCCTTAGGGGTCTGCGGGTTGAAGGCAAGAAGGGTTTAGGGTTTAGGGTTTAGGGTTTAGGGTTTAGGGCTTCGGGTTTCGGGTTTAGGGTTTAGGGTTTAGGGTTTAGGGCTTAGTAGACCCTGAAGACTTAAGGGGTTCAGACTCGTACCCCTAAGAGCCGGAGGTTGTACTCCTAAAGGCTCCAGTTAGTCTACCCCTAGTACGGCCCTTATATTACTTCAAGGAAAACCCAAGGGTACAACTTCCAAGGGAAAACCGCCAGAAAGACCTGACATATACTCCTAAAACTCTCAAACCCCGGACCCGGAGACGCTGAGACGCTAAGTTGTACTCCCTAGACCCTACAGCCTCAACCCTAAACCCTAAACCCCAAACCCGCAAGCCTAAACCCTAAACCCTAGGCCCTAAACCCCAAACAAAAGCAAGAGCTGACCCGAAACTTGCGGATCAACCGCAAAGGAGGCAAGCAAGCTCCCCCCCCGACCGCCCCCAAACTTCTCTATAGCCGCCTTAGGGATTTAGGGCTTAGGGCTTAGGGCTCAGGATTTTGGATTTAGGGTTTAGGGTTTAGGGTTAGTTTTATCGATATATAACCCAAGGGAATCTTAAACACAATCGTTAGGTTCGAAGGGGGGAGTATGGTTTCTGAAAGTCTTGGTAGCCCACTGCCAGTGGTACCCTTTAGGGTTTAGGGCTTGAGCAACCAACCCAAGAAGGGTACCCTAAATTTTAAACCCTACACCCTACACCCTACACCCTAAACCCTAAACCCTAAACCCTAAACCCTAAACCCTAAACCCTAAACCCTAAACCCTAAACCCTAAACCCTAAACCCTAAACCCTAAACCCTAAACCCTAAACCCTAAACCCTGATCATGACATGGTTGCTGGGCCACCAAGAAGTGTGTTTTAGGGGCTTTGGTGGGGGTGTTGAGGGTAGTATTTATGTCTAGGGTACTTGGGGTATTTAGGGTGCTTAGGGTACTTAGGGTGTTTAGGGTACTTAGATTATTTAGGGTGTTTAGCGTATTTGGGGTATTCAGGGTTTCTCCTTTAGGGTTACCTGGAAAGCCTGGGTTAGCTTAATCAAGATCAACTGGTCACTGTGCGGGGTTTGGGAGCCACTACTTGAAAGTTGACCATGCCTGCCTCGATGGCTCACTTAGACCAAACTGAACTTGATGCACTTCCTGAAAGATCACACCAAAAACTCGAAGATAAGAGGAGAAAAACCCTTAAGACCCACGCGAACCCTTACAATCCCAGCCGAACTCCCTTCAATGGGTGCCTGGGCGGCCTGGCCACAGCGCTCAAGGACCGAGGGGGGTTTGCTTTCTTTTTTTACCCGCGGAGTCCAAGGTTCAGGCAATACCGTTGGATAGTGCGTTCGTGTACCGTACGAATCGAAACATTGCGGGACTGGGATGAAATTCTTCCTATAAAGCCCTCATCAAGCTGAACAGAATACGCGAGGATGTTTAGGCTTGTGGCTTTGGCGTTTGACGCCCGCCTCATGCCATGTACGAGGTGTGCGAAGAAATGAAATTTAGGCATGATCTTAAATCTCGGTCGCTACATACTCAGGGCTTGAAGGGCTGCCTTGTTGAAAGCTCTCATGAAAAGCAACCCGTCATTTGCAATCCTGTCTGCATCAGCAGGTTCAACCCACAAAGGCTGATGATAGATGGAGTGCATAAAGCTGTTGATTGCGACCAGGCCTTCATAGATCGTTCGCAAATGCGGTTCATCCTGCTCGCTGCAATCGGCAAGAAGACGCTCGTACATGCTTAGCACAAACTTTGCCAGCAGAGACGTGCGCCCTTGAACCATCTCCTTACTGCCCGACCTCAGAGCCTGCGTGAAATCGTGGTTTGTACCGTAGAGTTGAAGTAAAAAAAACAAAATAAGCTGAACAAACAAAGGCTCCCAACAGGAAAGTCAGCCGATGTGTCCAAACCCAAGAGATCCCTTGTCAAACCAGTCATGTGTAAGTGCTCGCCGTTACTGGCACACCAAGCCTGGGCTTCTTCATAGAGGACCCTCAAGCAAACGTCTTGGCTGCCAGTGCCCAAGAAGCCGTGATCCAGCAATGTTACCTTGGCTTAGACAACGGTCTATCTACAAACACACGGGGGTTTTGAGAGAAAAACCGACTCGAAAGAAACAGACTCTATGATTGTAGGTCGAGTTTCAATCGCTGAAGCGACATAGTCTGCCACAACTCCCTTGTGGCAAACATGGAACAAGTCTACGGCGTAAAAACTTGCTGGATCCTTTTTGTTTTGAGCAAGGTTGGTAAGTGCGGACGGAGTGTTCCACGGAAGAGGGCTGTCAGCATGGAGCCAGGGGGCGTCCGACTCGAAAGCATTCCAGGCATAACCAAGCTGCCCGGCGCGGCAAAGGTGGCATATGCCGGGAGGGTTGTCAGAGTTTGGGGCGTCCCTCAAGTGGTGTCGCAGCAACCCGCCAGCTTTTGTAAGTGCTGGCCAGTCTCCCTTGCATGCCAGGATCACAGGCCACATCTTCATGACCCCAGGAACCCCTGAAACTTCAATACCATTTCGGTAACAATCACTCAGATCCTTCTGCCACTCAGCCAGCAGTGAGTTCAGGACGTGTTTCTTTCTGCTGTGTGTCCTCGCCAACAGCACAGAGAACAGCATCCGCGATAGATAAGTGCTGCCAAGAAAGTTATGGCCAGTACTCTTCTTGGACCCCTTGCCGCAAACAATTTGGACCGAAAGAACCATAATACCTTTCCGCTTGTGGGATGTCCCTTCATCAAGGTGGAGCATCATGGGCACGCAGCTGGGCAAACGCGAGGAGTCGTGGGTGGAAAATACGTCGTCCTCCGGGTGCAACTGCTTCCATTTACACCAAAACTCTTTCAGCTGCGCAGGGCCATTTCCCAGAAAGATGTGTTCCATTTTCCCAGCCTTGCTGAAGGTTTGCAGAACATCGCGCAATCGTAGCACGGGGTGCGGTTGCTTCAGCCCAATATTCACGTGGGATATGGGCACATCGGCTTGCAGGCCAAACTCCTTAAACACGCTGGGGACTCAGGGTTCATGACCAGTTGCATGCAGCCTGTGTAGGCGAGCAATAAAGTCCGAGGATTCAATAGGCAGGCTGTCCTCCAATTCCCGATGCATAGCTGCTGCGAGTTTGCAAGCATGCTTCTCACTCACCTTATCTGTTGGGCCCAAAGTAAATTGACCTGTAGCAAACGCAAAACGACAACAAAACTGGTATGGGTTCAGGGGTTATCAAGGACAGACAATACTCAACGTCAAACCCTTTGCAAAAACTTGACCCGAGAAGCACCAGATGCCACAGTCTCTGCAATCGCATGGCCCACAGGACCAACTCGGCGCCGCTTCACCGCAGCGCTGCCTGCGTGGGGTTTCTTGGATGAACGAGTTGGCCCTCTTTGTCTGCTTCAGGTCAAGGTCTGCAAAGTTACAGGTTTGTGTTGCGTTCCTTCAGGTCTTCAGCGATGCACGGTGTCGCGCTGCATGGACTCCCAATATCTGAAGTTGTCATAGCAACTTGCAAGAAAGGAGCTTCTCCCACCGATCCTTTTCCACTCTATATCATCTTAGCTGCGCTAGCAGGCCCATGTGGAAGCAGCTCCACCCCATTTGGACACAGTCACGAAACCCCAGGCTGGCTTGCTGGCGCTGACTGTGCAGCGCTGACGAGGAGGACGGAAGGCAGGGTTTACATTGGACCATATAAGGTTCTATTTTGTGGGGAACTACGCCTTCCTTCCACGCTTAGCCTTAGCCTTGGGCTTCAGCTTTGCAGCCGCCCTCTTACGCTTCGGGGCAGGTCTGGGTGCCGGCTCAGCGGAGGGGTCATCACCATTGTTGTCCAAAGCTTGCTGAGACAGGGACTTCTTCAGAAGGGTCCTGTCGGACTGGGCAAAGAGTCCCGAAAAGGGCTTATAGGGTTTATGGGGTACATAGAGTTTATAAAATTCTATAGCATCTATAGGGTTTTAAGCTTATAGGGTTTTTAGGGTTGAGAGGGTCCTCTTCAGCTTGGTCTCTTCCATACTGAATCTCGCGCACCTAGTTGCGGGCCCTACAACCTTATATACCCTATAAACCCTATAAACTCTCGAGCAACCCTAAACCCGAAAACCCAGAAACCCTATAAACCCCAAACGACTTTAAGGATTTGGCGTCTTCTCGGCTTTGACCAAGAGTTCCCGCAGCTTCTCCATGGACCTCGAAGAGGGAGGAACATGGGTCAAGGACTATCGTAGGGCCTGCAGGGTTTTTGGCGCATATAAGGTTGATAGGGAGCGAAGGACTGTGTAACAAAATCGATCGATTCCAGCGGCTTCTGGCCAAGAGATTTCTTCGAGCTGGCGTAGGATGCTTTGATTTCAGCCATCTCATCGTGACAGGTCGTGAGGGTGGCGGCGTAGGTGTGGAGCCCGGTCAGGCACCTTAGACACCGCTGCCTATGAAACTGAACAATCCCGAACACGCAAGCGAACCTTTGGCGGGCGACGCTTGTACAAGTCGATGCAGCTAAAGGTCGTCTGGGCCTTCTTCCCCGAAAGCTTCTCTACTTTCTCGATACAGGCTTCCACCTTTGCCTGCGCACGCAGGAGCTGGTTCATCACCGCCAGCGCTCTCGATGGCCTGGCAAGGCCAGGAAGGATTGGCGAGGTGCTATATATAGTTTAGGGAAGGTGGGCTCACTGCGTATGGCCTCGGCGGGGGTTTCCTCTTCGAGGTCGTCTTTGCTCTTTGAGGACGGGGACCCCCTGGCTCTGTGCTTGGTCTTCTGCTTCTTATCCTTTTTCGCTTTCTTGCTCTTCTTTGCATTCCTTTTCTTCCCTTTCTTGTCAGAATTCTCGCTGTCCTCCGAGGACTCGTCATCATCGGACTCGCACTCGTTGTCATCGTCGGAGTCGCTCTCCGACGGGTTGTTTTCATCAGCGCAATCTTCGGTAGCATCGATCTCGTGCTTGTCTGTGTAAAGCTCTGACTCGGCAACCTTGTACGTACCTTTGGTCTCCTCTTCAACCCAATATTCGATCTTGTCCTTCTCGTACTTGTCCTTCCTGTCAAATATGTATGTGGTGACAGGCGCGAAAGGGATAGATACAATATGCATGGGTTGCGACCCACTGATGCTAGGAAGGCCTTGTGTGGGTTTTGATGCGCTTGGGGTTGGTGCAGAACTTGACCACCTTCTGGATTCTTCTCCTAGGCCGATCGCGCTAGTCACGCAGACACGAAAAAACACACAGACATAGATTCCCCAGCATAGGAAACACAAGGCCACCGCGCTGAGAACTTCAGAACAGACTTCATCTTTTCTTTACTATACCAGCCACAGATAACCGTGATCTCATTGGACTTGCTCTTCTGGATTTGAATCTCCACGGTGCGCTTCCACACGTCCTACACATCAAAACAAATATGTACGTACATATATGTGAATGGCTTCCATAATAACACGCTATATAGGACCTGTAGAGCACAACGGTCCTTGTTTCCCTCACACTTCATCAAGGTTCGGATCAGGAAATTCTTCAAATCACCCCCTGCATTCCATCTCTCGACAATGTCGGGAGAAGCCATCACCGATTTCGATCTTGTCTTCGGCTCAATCATGCGACGAACCACTGCTTCGGCTCGCCGCCATTCCTTTGTTCATGCCTGACTTTCAAAGTTTGGCTAGTCACAACTGCAGGGTTTAGGGTGTATATATATATATATAGGGTTTATAAGGGCTTATAATAGGGTTAGGGTTTCAACACAACGCAACACAACGCAAGACAAGGCAACACGACACAACACAACACAACACTACACAACACACAACAACGCACAACACCGCTACACTAGACACACTATACACACGACACACCACACACCACATGCGACACACGACGCACAACACACGACAACACGGCACGACGCTACACAACAACACACAACATACAACATACAACGCACAATAGACAACACACACACACACCAACACACCAACACACAGCGCGCGATGTTGTGTTGTGTTGGGCCTTGTCTTGTGTGGTGTGCTTGCTGCGAGCGTGCGTGCTGCGAGCGTGCGTGCTGCGAGCGTGCGTGCTGCGAGCGTGCGTGCTGCGAGCGTGTGTGCTGCGCGTGCGTGCTGCGAGCGTGCGAGCGTGCGTGCTTGTGTGTGTGTGTGTGTGTGTCTGTGTGTGTGTGTGTGTTTAGGGTTTATAGGGCTTCGGGTTTAGGGTTTAGGGTTTTGGGTTTATAAGGTTTATAATGTTTAGGGTTGTAGGGTTTCTAGGGTTTAGAGGGTTTAGGGTCTATAGGGTTTAGGGTTTAAGGTTTAGGGTTTAGGGATTATGGTTTAGGGTTTAGGGTTTAGGGTTTATAGTTTAGGTATAGGGTTTAGGGTTTAGGGTTTATAGGGTTTATAGGGTTTAGGGTTTATAGGGTTTAGGGCTTATAGGGTTTAGGGTTTAGGGTTTAGGGTTTATAGGGTTTATAGGGTTTATAGGGTTTAGGGTTTAGGGTTTATAGGGTTTAGGGTTTATAAGGGTTAAGGGTTTAGGGTTTATAGGGTTTAGGGGTTAGGGTTTAGGGCACACACACACACACCGACACAAAGCGACACCCACAGACGCTCACCGACATAAATCCTATACCCTTATATACCATAAGCCCTAAATCCTTATAAGCCCTATAAACTTTGCACCCTCATAAACCCTACAAACCCCTACCCTATATCAACCCGAAGCACCCTTATACACCCTTCTAAACCCCATGATACCCTATCCGGGACGTGTCAACCGAACCTACAAGATACTACGTCAACAGAGGCTATAACATTGACGCATTGTTTTTTCGGTCCGGTTGTCACGTCCAGGTAAGCTTTATGACCCTCGAAGCCCTATATCCCTATAAACCCTCATAAGCCCTATAACCCTTATAAACCTTGAGGCGGGGGAGGGGGGCGGGGGGAGGGGGAGTCACGGTGTTGTCCCGCGCAAACTTCGGTACGCTGCAGCGCAGAATCGGGTTCCCATGTTTAGGGTTTAGGGTTTAGGGTTTAGGGTTTAGGGTTTAGGGTTTTTTTTCATAGGGTTTAGGGTTTAGGGTTTATAGGGTTTGGGGTTTAGGGTTTAGGGTTTAGGGTTTAGGGGTATTGGGATTTAGGGTTTAGGGTTTAGGGTTAAACCCTAAACCTAAACCCTAAACCCTATAAACCCTAAACCCTAAACCCTAAGCCCGCAATTTACTATGAACCCTGACAAACCCCAAACCCTATAACCCTTGGAAAGATTAAACTTGTAAAGCCTTGTCAACCCTATGAACCCTTCTAACGCCTATATAAACCCCAACCCATACAAAGCTACGGAGGAGGCAAACTTGTGGGGAAAAGCTGCCTCACCTCTTCTGGCAAACGGAGGCCCGTGGCACCCCGGAGATACGCCGCCAATTCTGGCATTCGGGCATCCTGCCAGAGATCTTCATACAGCGCCTTGTCACATAACGCAAGCTTGGGGTCCGTGATCGCGCTGGTGGCCTGTAGGGCTGCGGTAGCGGTTCTGGCTTCGGGGATGGGCTTGAAAAGGACAATTGATGTAGCGTAGGTGTGGCCTGAAAGGTTGGTGGAGCTCGTTCAGAAAGCAGTCGCGGCATTGCCCTCACATATCGTAGGCCGAATGGGATTTTATACCGCCTTAGTTCCATTACTTGTGTCGGGTTCTTTTCGAGTCAGCTGACGTTGTGGTCTAGACAAAAATTCATCCTTGGCACCCTGAGTCTTGGAGGTCCCTCGCCTTGCCACTGAAGCTCTTCTTGCCAATTCTGGGATCCACTGCTCTTGTAACCAGTGTGCTCAACCCATTTTTCTCCTTTGCTGTCAATGGCCTGGGATCATAGAAAGCCGCAATCCCCTTGGAATTGGACCAAAGTCTGGTCCTTTTGGCACGTTTCGCGCCGAAACGGCACATCCAGAAGCCGACACAGAATGCCTTGCCGAATGGGGAAGGTGGCCAGGTGTCTGAGTTTAGGTAAACCAAGACAAGCTTCCTCAACCCACCCTGAACAGCAGCCCAGGGAGTGGCAGGGGAGTGGCAGGCAAGATAGGTCGGGTTTTAGGGGTCTTGATGTCCGAGTGGCCCGTGTGACTTGGAGCAACTGCTGCATTCTGGGATGCCGCCAAATAATTGAACTGACCGGCTGCTCTAGCACATAGGTTCCCGATTTAGCCAAAATTAGTCTGATCTCCAAGCACATCCTTAGCGAACACTCTTGAACCTTGAAGAGCGCAAGACTCAGAAGACATGCGCTTGATCCTGTGACTACACACCCGTCCTGCTGCAGAGAACATTGGAGTCCTCAACCCTTGCGCGTGAGCGGTCGCCAAGGGGGGTGAAGTAAGATCGCTTTGTTGAGTGCCTTGAGACTGTGATCCAGGTAGAGCATAGCATACCAAAGTGCACCACAAAATCTCCATCTTTGCATTTTAGGATAGTAAGAAGCAATAGCCTTGGCTGGTTCGGTCATTGACTCGAAGTGTACCCAAGCATCGGTTGTTTGGGGGAGTTTCAACGTAGAGGGTGGAAAGCCCCCTGGTTGCAACTGCACGTTTGTATGCCTCGAGTAACACCCTAAACCCTATAACCCTATAACCCTAGACCCTATAAACCCTATATATACCCTAAACCCTAAACCCTATTATAAACCCTAAACCCTAAACCCTAAACCCTAAACCCTAAACCCTAAACCCTAAACCCTAAACCCTAAACCCTAAACCCTATACCCTATAAACCCTGAACCCTCAGCCCTGAACCCTATAAACCCTAAACCCTAAACCCCATAACCCTAAACCCTAAACCACTTTAAAACCAACCCTGTCCAAAAACCAACAGCATGGCTACACAGTGAAACCCAGAAGCGCCATCCCTGCAGGCGTAAGAATATCCAAGGGATTCCGCACAGATTGAGACACTGGCCGTTCTTTAGCAAACGCAGCCCAGGAATCAATCTCCAGGGAGGCTACACAGTGCCCGGCCAAACCCAAACATCTCGACAGGGCAGCCGCCCCGGCAAACACTGCCACTGCGTCGTATTCCTGGTAGAAAGCCGGATTGGCGGTTTAGGGTTTTTAGGCTTTGAGAGGGTCTATAGGGCTTGGAAGGGTTTATAGGGTTTATAGGGGTTAAAGGGTGTATATAGGGTTTATGAGCTCCCCTTCTTCCAACAAGCCCTCCAATCGTTGACAGGCAGACTTTGGGATGTTCCCCCTTTTCTTAATAGTCCTTAGTAGGGATTAGAATAGGGGGCACGATGGGGGACATTAAATTCTAAGGGAAGACGCGACATGGAAGAGCTCCTTTGGGATGATTCTACGATCAGGGGGGATTCTATCCTGGACCCGCCGAAACTGAGCGCTTGAACTGCTCCTTCCAGGTATGGCCAGATGTATGGCGGTCCGGGACAAGGAGCTCTTGGGGGTTTAGGGTTTAGGGTTTCGGGTTTTTGGTTTCGGGTTTAGGGTTTAGAGGTGGGGTGTCAGGGGTTTGTTTAGGCTGAGGCATGCGGGTCACTGGCAGCCGTCTTGGTTAGCGGACGTGCAGACTTGTTCCTCCCGGTTTCAGGGTACCCAGACAAGCCCATTACTGGAGCCCAACCCTAAACCCTAAACCTTAAACCTTTTAAACCCTAACCCCCCCCCCCCCCCCCCCCCCCCGCGCAGGACAGCCGCATTAAGGACAGGGTATGGCGCCGCCGTCGTCTCAGAGGCAGGTCATGCAGCGAGAATCCTCAGCAGTTTTGACGAATCTAGGTAGGGTCTTGGGAGATTCTGCACTTCCTCTTATTGGGGTGTACGAGGATCTTGTTCAGCAGGGATTTTTCAGGGGGTTCTATGGAAGCCCTGCGCTTGCCTTGGATCAGCGTTGCGCTCTGAGGCAGCCAGCCATTGTCTTCAACCAGGCAGGAGGCATGCCCCAGGGCGGTGTCAACATGCTGCGGGGACCCCGGCCGCCTACTGTCGACTGCCAAAGCTCCGAACCCCCCCCACCCCGGGTTTCGGGTTTCGGGTTTAGGGTTTAGGTTTAGGGTGAAAGGTCTTTGGTGGTTTCTGAGGGTTGGGTGGAACAGAGGGTTGAGGGCTCAGGGTTTATTTGGTGGTTCATGGGAACTTGTAAGTAGGGTTACAAGTAGGGTATCTATTGTAAGAACCATATTAAGGGTCCTTTCACCCCACTTCTAAGTACCCATGAACCTTCAAGTAGGGCATGCTTTCAGGATTCTCTGCGTCCGGATTCTAAGAAGCTTTTGGAGTCCACAGGAAGTCTAGGGTTTCAAGGGCTTAGGGTTTAGGGTTTAGGGTTTAGGGAAGGTTCGAAACTCTGGGCCTCCAGCACCCCGGCTTTCAACACGGCCCCCGGGACGTCCGGTGGTTTTTTTGATCGTTGGGAGCTTTGAACCTTGACCCCACATAGGCATACTGTGGCGTTTGGCCCAAAAGAACAAAACCCTAAACCCGAAACCCGAAACCCCAAACCCTAAACCCTAAACCCGAAACCCTAAACTCTAAACCTTTAAGCCGTCGTCCTTCTTAAAGAGGCGTTGGGGCTTTTCCCCAGATCCCAAACCCATCTCCACCTGCCTGGAATCCAAATGGGGACCGGTTGATTTAAGGCTTAAGGGCTTAAGGGCTTAAGGGCTTAACGGCTTAAGGGCTTAAGGGCTCAACGGCTTAAGGGCTTAAGGGCTCAAGGGCTTAAGGGCTTAAGGGTTTAAGGGTTTAAAGCTTTCAGGGATTCGGGGCTTAAGGGTTTCCAAACCCCCGGGTTTCCGAGGTCCGGCGACCAGCAGAACCAAATGCAGTGCCTGGGCGTGCAGGGGTGTGTCCTAGGGTTCGGTGGTCCTTAGTAGGGATTAGAATAGGAGGCACGATAATCCCTATTAAGGACTGTTAGTATAAGGGGGAAAATTAAATTCTAAGGGAAGACGCGACATGGAAGAGCTCCTTTGGGATGATTCTACGATCAGGGGGATTCTGTCCTGGACCCTCCGAAACTGAGCGCTTGAACTGCTCCTTCCAGGTATGGCCAGATGTATGGCGGTCCGGGACAAGGAGCTCTTGGGGGTTTAGGGTTTAGGGTTTAGGGTTTCGGGTTTTTGGTTTCGGGTTTAGGGTTTAGGGTTTAGAGGTGGGGTGTCAGGGGTTTGTTTAGGCTGAGGCATGCGGGTCACTGGCCGCCGTCTTGGTTAGCGGACGTGCAGACTTGTTCCTCCCGGTTTCAGGGTACCCAGACAAGCCCATTTCTGGAGCCCAACCCTAAACCCTAAACCCTAAACCCTAAACCTTAAACCTTAAACCCTAACCCCCCCCCCCCCACTGCGCAGGACAGCCGAACCAAGGACAGGGTATGGCGCCACCGTCTCAGAGGGAGGTCATGCAGCGAGAATCCTCAGCAGTTTTGACGAATCTAGGTAGGGTCTTGGGAGATTCTGCACTTCCTCTTATTGGGGTGTACGAGGATCTTGTTCAGTAAGTTTTGTTCAGGGTTCGGAGCTTTGGCAGTCGACAGTAGGCGCCCGGGGTCCCCACAGCATGTTGACACCGCCCTGGGGCATGCCTCCTGCCTGGTTGAAGACAATGGCTGGCTGCTTCAGAGCGCAACGCTGATCCAAGGCAAGCGCAGGGCTTCCATAGAACCGTTTAGATTTTGCGAACCAAACCTGCCTTGGCCAAGGCCAAGTCCTCGTTGAACGCCAGAAGTACAATTGCACATCGCAGGACCTCATTTACAGCTAACAACACCCCACGCAGAGAAACCTAAAGGAGGGCAAGGGATCATTCCTCTGCCTAGGCACACCTGGGGAGTTCAGCTCCAACAGCCGCTGCAGGAGGCTGTGCAGTTCATGCGGTGTCATGGCACAATTGTTGCCCACAGCTATTAGCATAAGAGTTCGAGCACGATGCCTGCTTGAGTGCGTTTGGACCCTGCTGTGAATATGACTGCGCACGCAGACATTAGTAAAGGCTCGCCCAAGTTGTTCCGCAACAGGCAACAGTGAGCTGGGGCCAGCCTGCGCTGCCACTAGCTGGTGCTGTGAACCGATGCCGCAATCTCCAGGAAGTACTCATCCAGCACAAAGGAACCTGCCAAGAGATCAGTTAAGTAGGCGCGGGATCGATCGAGCTGCAAATTGCTTTAGAATTGTACACATGTTTCTTGCTGAAAGCAGGGGCACGCTTGAAGAGGCGCGCAGTGACAAGCTGAGACTTTTGAGACCGCTGCAACAGAAAGTGCCACTCACGCAGATCCCCGCTGCATGTTGAGGCCCCCTGCCAAAACTAGCTAGGGGCGCGGGATCTAAGGGAGCGAAGGCTGCCACAAATCGTCTAGCCACCCTTCTCTTAAAAGGTGTGAGGTGCACTCATGTCAGTACCGTTCCCTACCCGTGCCCAGGACACACACCGCAGACATCACTTTCGATGCTCGCAAAGACGATCGATGGACTGTGTAGCTACTGGTATTGCGCAAGCGTAGAAACAGCAAAAGTGTTGAGGAATCAGATGAAAGCTGCAGGTCAACAATTCCTAGACATTTTCTACACAGTGCTCACTATTGCACGAAGACTGTTTTTGTAGCACTACCACGACCCCACACATCAATCTGACCCCTCGCAAGCGACACGGTGCCACCTCTTGCCCTTGAAGGACGGTCGAAGGCAGGTGCCACAGCCAAGCACGCCCCAGCGGCAGCTGGAACATCCCAGCACAAACTTGCCACACTCACTGTAGCCAGTGCGATTGCGATCAGGCTGCAGCTTCGTCTCCACACTTGCTGCCTTGCTCTTCGCCTTCGCCCTAGCCTTTGTCTTCGGTGTCGCCTTTGCCTTTGCCTTCGCCTTTGCCTTTGGCAAAGGCTCGGCTCCTCCGTCTCCTTCGGCAAGTGTTTGCGCTTCTTGGAACCGGCTGTCTTGGAGTTGCTGCACGTAGGCTTGTCCGTGCCCTCATCCTTCTCACACGCCTTCCTGGACTTGCCCTTGTTTTTGCCCTTTTTGTTGGCCTTCTGCAGGAGCTCGCGCGTGCTTCTGGAGCGGCGTGTGCGACGAATGGAAGCGCGGAGGGACCGGCGTAGGTCGTTCTGGGCAGACAAAGAAACCAGCGGGGCCAGCGGAGCGTCACCATCCCCCTTGGAAGACCCGGGCTCCTGCGTTGCACCACTCAGCCCCTAAAAAAATTTAGTACACGCTGCCAAGGGGTCTACAGTCCAGCACTCCTCCTTACACATCTTCTCAGGACTCGAGAACACATCAACAACACTGGTCGGCTTGTCGGCATTGCCCATCAGCGAGTCAGTCTCGTCGGTCGGCGGGCCCATCACCAAAGTGTCCGCCTGAAGGGTCTGAGTCAAAACCTCAAATTGGTTTTGGGATAGGATCTATACGGCCCCTATAGGGTTTAGGATTACAGGGTTTAATTGGGGTCGACATAAGGGTTTTATAGGGCTTCGGGCCAACCAGCTCTACAGACGCTATATTGCTTATATGAACCCGGGAGTCCTGATCTGGAGGATGCTTCCAAGCAGGATCCGCATCTCCGAAGAGCTGCCTCTTGCACGTAGGTGGCGGTTCATCGCCTGCGCCTGTTGTGATGAAGCTAGGGATGGCTGCTGAAGAATTCTACGTAGATGGTCTCAACTTTTTTCAGCGTGTGCCAGAATGTTTGAAGAAAACTCACTCAGGCCTGTAGGTTCCTTTGCCCGTCGCTCTGGGGATCCCATCAGGAGTAACATGGCATCGTGATGAGCCGTTGCGACATCCTTCTGCTCCCCATCCTCATAGAGCGAGATTTGATTCATCAAGTCGGCCAATTCGTCCTCCTTGTTCGTCGTCAGGATCCCAGGGCCTGCGTAGGAAGCAGGCATCTCCAAAGCCTCCTTGGAAGCACCGCCAAGAACTGCCGCGCTGGGCAAGCTTGCGAGAGAGGTCTTGGACCTGCAGCGCTGCAACGGGTGTGGAAGCTGCGAATCCTTCTCGGGCTCCCCCTCCTCATCAGACAAGCCCACGCCAGCAACCTTCTTGGCAGGCGCGGCCGATTCGGAAGCCACCGCAGGAGACTCCTGCTCCTTCTCCTCCTCCTCCTCCGACTCTTAGTGCATGTGCTCCCCATTCTCTGAAACACATGCGTCCTTCTCATGCTCGAGATCTGATTCTTCTTCCCCTTCGTCATCGTTGTCATCACCGTTCGTGCTTCGCAATTCCTTGATCAGCTGAAACAGCCGTCGAACTCCGGCCGCCTGGGCAAAGGAAACCGCTACCCAACTTAAGCGAACACACGGAAACATCACACAGGGGAAGCAGGCCACTATTATATCTTCAAGAGACGCGGGGTGTTTGCTCGCGCTGCTCTGCGTCTTTCTGACGCCTCAACGCGAAGCTGCACAGCCGGCGGAGGTCCCAGGCATCGAGGTAATATTGCCTGGCACCGAGGTGGGGAATACAGCCGGACTCTTCGTACAGCTGCGTCACCTCAATGCGGTCACGAGAATGGGCGCTGTAATCATGTCCTAAGCGGGAGGAAACATGTCCTTAATGACTCTAAATCGGCGAAGCTGCTTCACCCTCCAGCTTCCCGATAGGAACCTGCTTGCCACTTGTGACCTTGTAAAAGGAAAACATCGCCGTCAAAGCTGGTATGTTCATCTCCATTGCTGCAGTCGATGTGGGGTTCTCCTTCAGGCCATCTTCTTTCTCATCATCCTCCTGTTTCTTCGGAAAGCGAACAAAGCTTTTGGTGTTTTTCAGCCGCCTCCTGATCACCTTCTTCTTTTCCCACAACTCGTACAGCGACTTTGCCATTAGCGCATGTGATCCACCAGACCCTTTGAAGTCAGAAATGCTACAGAGATGCACAGAAAGCTCAATCACCCTGTCATGGTCCGTGCAAAGGACCCTAAAAGCTGCATGCCTCAAGTGTAGAAGTCCAAACTTTGAGTCGATTCACGGTAAGCGAGCAGGAGTCACCTCCAATAGCGAAGCGCAGGCATCGCAGGTAGACCAGGTCCTGCGAATGTGAGGGCGCGGGTGAATGTAAAGGGATTGTCAGAAACACTTTCCCCAACTACTCTATTAAATTCCTTGAAATTTCCTTGAATATCGGTCCTCAAAGATCAAGAATCCGCCAGCCATTGCCGGCGTCGCATACAAAAGCGTAGTCGTGCCCTCCTTATCCTGTCCATCCTGCACCCAAGTACCTACCCTACACCCAGAGCCTTTGCAAAGTCGATGTGCTTGTAATAAGTGGCTTTCGATCCAGCACAGCTCCTGGCCTGGTGGAGCGGACGCAGAGGTTTTCGATCAAATTAGGCTTTGGGGCTAGGGGCCAAACCAGATAAAGATGAACTTTGCCACTGTGGCAATTATTCCTGGGCTCTGGCCATAGTATAGGATTTTAAGGGTGAACCAGGCAATTGTGACAGGATTATGATACCCTTTCGAAAGTGCAGCTTCATTAAGTGGCACTACGGCGTTCCAGGTAGGCTTTAAGAACGTAACCAGCCACAAAACCGATAAAAAACAGATCCCTAAACCCTCAACGCCTGAACCCCAAAACCCGAAACCCTAAACCTTAAACCGCTAATCCCCAAGACCCTAAACCCTAAACCCTAAACCCTAAACCCTAATCCCCAAGACCCTAAACCCTAAACCCTAAACCCTAAACCCTGATTATGACATGGTTGCTGGGCCACCAAGACGTGTGTTTTAGGGGCTTTGGTGGGGGTGTTGAGGGTAGTATTTATGTCTAGGGTACTTAGGGTATTTAGGGTGTTTAGGGTACTTAGGGCGTTTAGGGTACTTAGATTATTTAGGGTGTTTAGCGTATTTGGGGTATTCAGGGTTTCTCCTTTAGGGTTAGGCTTTAAGAACGTAACCAGCCACAAAACCGAGAAAAAACAGATCCCTAAACCCTCAACGCCTGAACCCCAAAACCCGACACCTAAACCCTAAACCTCTAATCCCCAAGACCCTAAACCCTAAACCTTAAACCTTAAACACTAAACCCTAAACCCTAAACCCTAAACCCCCTAATCCCCCTAATCCCCAAAACCCTGCCATGCCTGAGGCTCGCGCGCGACGTGCTCCGTACGGACGGGCTCCGTGGCCTGTACCGCCGCCCGGCGGCAGTGGAAGGGGCGGTAGGCTCTTAGGGTTTAATAGGGTTTAGGGTTTAGGGTTTAGGGTTTAGGGCTACAGGCCTAAACTCACGGCCTAGGCCGCCCCCATACTTAAGCCCCTCGACCTCAATGGCGCAAGCCGACCCGGGTCGTTCGTCCGCCTCGGAGGTCGGTAGCACCCTAAACCCTACGCTCTGCAGACAGCTTTTGGGTGACGGACGGGAAGGCTCTCAAGTACTAGTGGCGGTTGAGGGTCTTGGGTTTTGGGTTGGGAGGTCTGGGGTTTAAGGTTCAGAGTGTAGGGTTTGCCTGGAAGCCCATTTGACTTAGTAAGTTTTCATCGTATCCCCTAGAAACCCCACTCTACTTCCCATAACCCAACTTATTAAACCTACTTGCTAAGTGAACAGGGCTTTGAAGTGGCATTGAGGCAAGAGAGCTGTCAGGGTTTTTGGGTTAATGTGAACTTGTTTTTGGTGGGGTTGGCACCCCCCAACATGGTACAGCCTACTAGTTTGTCCGTCTGGGGTAGGTCCTAAACCCTTAAACCCTAATTAAGCGTTTGCAGACTGGAGGGCATTTGAATCTTATCGTAAACCCTAAGCCCTGAAGTGCAAAGTTCCAAAACAGTTTGCTCTAAAGTTTTAAAGGAGGTTTAGTTTAATTCGTTTTTTGTCATCCAAAGGGATTGTTATGTATGTATATATATATATGTTCATATATTTATATTTGTGTTCTTTTTGTTCTGTCGTATTTCTTTGTTTGATCATCATTGTTGCTCTAGGGCCAGTCTCGTTATAGGCCTTCTAGTTACGGTTCTCTGCGTGCTTTGACCGTCTGCAGTTAAGAGAACTTGCAAAGCCTCTGTAGAACCCTAAACCCTAAATCCTAAACCCTAAACCCTAAACCCGACGCCGGGCAGAGATTTTGCCGCCAAGGTGGCATGGACACGCAGCTGCTGATTGCTCCGTGCCCGTGTCTGCAGAGTCAAGGGTTTTAGGGTTTTAGGGTTCAGGGTTTAGGGTTTAGGGTTTAGGGTTGAGAGATTTTTCGGGTCTCATTATGAGGGAATGCTACTATTTGGGGGTCTATATTCGGGTTGAGAGTTTAGGTCATAGGGTTTAGGGTTTCGGTTTAAGCCGCGGCCTGAGTTTTGTTAAGCCGCCATGAAAGTAGCGTTGGAAGTCTTCTATAGAGTCTTTCCAAGGTACACCGTCATCTACTATTGCTGCTTGGCCTTCTATTCCAGGGCCACAGGGCTCATCTCGCCACCAGAGTGTGCTTGCGTGCCCCCTAAACAAACTCTCCTCTCTCAGCAGAACACCCACAGCCCCAAAGCTTTCCGAATGGTTTCGAGTAAGTTTGCGGGCAAGTTTGGGAGCCTTGGGGGACTAGGGTCTAGGGTTTAGGGTTTAGGTTAGAAACTTAAACCATAGAGAGGATTCTTATTCTGATTGAAGGCATATTCCTTAATGTATTGGGCTCTGGGGGAGAACCGTAAACCCTAGAACCTTAAGCCACATGTGTTTGTTGTCCAGGAGCCTTTTATGGGTTTTAGGGGTTAGACTGCTGTAAATTGTGGAGGGGTCTTGAGGCATTTTGCTTAGTATTCTGACCCTGCTCTACGGACTCGAACCCTCACCCTCACCGATACGCAACTACATGGCATAGATGTTTTTCAAAATGCTCTCAGACGGGTTGTGAAAGTCAAGGTTTCTTACTACTCCAGGGACAGGAACCGGGAGGTTTGGGATAAAGCCGAGTTCCCCATCAAGCCTTCCCAGATCCTCTCAAGGGTATGTTGCAAGAAGTTATGTTTGGCCCCGAACTTGGACCACTCCTACCCCCATGTGTACTTGGGGGATCACAGTAGGGCTATATAGTAAGTAGGGTCACAAGTACTGTACCCTAATAAGGGTCATTGCCTAGACCTCTGGGAGGATCCAGAAAGTAGAGCCCCCCAATAGTACCCTATACTACTATTGGGTCATTCTTACCCCCCTAAACCCTAAACCCTAAACCCTAAACCCTAAACCCTAAACCCGAAACCCTAAACCTTAAACCCTAAACCCTAAACCCTAAACCCTAAACCCTAAACCCTAAACCTTAACCCCCTTTCAGGGGATCTACTTCTCGCATCCCCCCACAATTTCTGGGGCAAGTCAAGGCCTCTATGACGAGCTCCTCCGGCTCCAGCAGGCTGCGGTTTAGGGTTTAGGGCTTAGGGCTTAGGGTTTAGGGTTTAGGATTGAGGGTTTAGGGGTTTAGGGGTTTAAGGGTTTAGGGGTTTAGGGGTTTAGGGGTTTAGGGGTTTGGGGGTCTGGGGGTCTAGGGGTTTAGGGGTTTAGGGGTTTAGGGGTTTAGGGTTTAGGGTTTAAGGTTTAGGGCCTTAAGGGTTTGAGGCTTAGGGCTTTGGGGCTTTAGGGCTTAGGGTTTAGGGTTTGAGGGCTGAGGGTTGCAGAATCAGGATAGGGGTCAGGGATTTGCAGGGTTCATGAATCATGGGGTTCAACGTTGTTGTACCCTTGGGTTTTGCGGACCCTTTTTAGAGATCCTCTAAGGGAATATAGGAGTATATTAAGGGGAACCTCTAGGGGGTACAACCTTAGGGACACGAGTATGACTCCCTTGAATAAATTTGGTTTGTTGGGGGTGCTTGAGCTTGGGCGGGGAAGGGGGTGAAGGGGGTGTGGGGAGGATGACATCTGCCCCCGATGCCCCTTGAAGTTGAAGTTGAGAAACCCTAAACCCTAAGCCCTACACCCTAAACCCTAAGCCCTAAAACCTAAACCCTAGACCCTAAACCACACTACACCAGGATCACCCGTTGGCACCACTCAGCGCGGCTGTGGTGGCACGCACCTTGGAGGCCGCCGAAAACCGCCTCAAACAACCATACACTGGTTTAGGGTTTAGGGTTCAGGGTTCGGGGTTGAGGGTGTAGGGTTTTGGGGTTTAGGGTTTAGGGCTAGGGTTTAGGGGTTCAGCTGGTTTAGGGTGAGATGATGGGATGTTCCCGCTTATACTAGCAGCTCCTTTCTAAGGAGCATAGAGGAGCACCATAATCCCTAGTAAGGGCTGTTAGTAGAAGGAGGAACATCCCGAACCATACACCAGCGCCATAAAGTACGAGGCCCTGCAGATCTGAACCTTGAAGACCAAGAAGGGTTTAGGGTTTAGGGTTTGGGGTTTAGGGTTTAGGGTTTAGGGTTTAGGGTTTAGGGTTTAGGGTTAAAGCCTTAAGCCCTGAACCCTGAACTCGAAACCCTGAAGCCCTCAAACCCTGAAGCCCCTAGCCCGAAACCTAAAGTTCCTACACCCTAGGCCCCAAACTTCCTAAACCCTAAACTTCCTAAAACCTAAACCCTAAACCCTAAGCCCTAAACTTCCTAAACCCTAAACTTCCTAAAGCCTCAACCCTAAAGCCTGAACTTCCTAAACCCCAAGCCCTCAAGGCGCCTACTTCCAGGTCACCCTGCGAATGCCACTGGAGCTGCTGCGGACGCAGCTGCAGGCTGCTGAAGGCCCCCGATCTCTGCAGATTGAGAGGTTGAAGCCTCTTAAGGTGTAGGATCCCTAAACTTCCTAAACTTCCTAAACACGTCCTAAACACTTCCTAAACACTTCCTAAACACTTCCTAAACCCTCAACTTGGGCTTGAATCTTTGTGGTTGAGGCTGTTGGGGTGAGAGCTGCTGTGAAGGGGTCTAATTAGGGGTTTGGAGCTGCAGGGGTTGCGGGCTTAACTGGGGGGGGCGGCGGGGGGTGAGGGGGATGAGTCTAGTTACGATACTTTGTCGTCCTGCTTGTTTTGGGGGCGCCTGCAACCCTAAACCCTAAACCCTAAACCCTAAACCCTAAACCCTAAACCCTAAACCCTAAACCGAGAGTTTAAAAAGAGAGAGGCCCCATTACCATTTTAAATACTATAGTTCAGGGACTTGGAACCAAATTTAGGATCTTATAACCCAATTTAGGCCCTTACAATAGGCCGGCCTTACAACCACATATTACTTGGGGCTAATTTGTCAAAAAGTCCCCACTCTACACCTAAAGCCTAATGCCCTTTTCCAACCCTAAACCCTAAACCCTTTAGCCCTAAACCCCCTAAACCCTAAACCCTAAACCCTAAACCCTAAACCCTAAACCCTAAACCCTAAACCCTAAACCCTAAACCCTAAACCCTAAACCCTAAACCCTAAAGCTAAGGTCAGCTTAGCCTGCGCAGCCTCCTGCAGCAGCACCGACATCAGCCTCTGAGCTCCTGGGCCCGCGAGCCCCACAAACTCCAATACCCCTTAATGCTTAGGGTTTAGGGATGTTCTGGGGGCTTCAGGGCCCAGGGTTCGGAATGTTAGAATTCTTAGGGTTTTTAGGGCTGCTGGGGGTTTAGGATTTTAGGGGGCTTAGGCTTTTTCGGGTTTAGGATCTAGGGGTTTTAGGGGTTTAGAGTTTTTCGGGTTTTAGGATCCAGGGGTTTTAGGGGTTTAGAGTTTTAGGGTTAAGGGTTTGAGAGTTCAGCAGTTTTCACAGACGTATATTATATGTATGCTTATAGACACACCAGGTAACCTCCTAAGGCCAACCTCACCATATAACCGGCCAAGTACATGCGTTGTGACGCTGAAAGCTGAGGCGGAACGCGAGAGGTTTCCAAACGAAGTGCTTCGGATACATGCCGATACTCACATGCGATACTGCATCAATAGAATTGCAAATCTAAACCAGGACCTCACTCCCACACAACATCAAATCACCACCCGAAGACCGTCAAGTACGCCCTTCAGGGAAGCAGACACACCACCAAGGTGATATCGACATCCAGGAATACTGCGAGGGGATAACGTTCATGTGTCCGTGGCTCTGCCATATACTTCTGTCCACTAGAGCATTCTGGCGCATGCAGAAATCGTTCCATGCCATGTCTCTGACTGTAACTCAGCGAGACTCAACGGTATCTCAGCCTGGCAAGTGTCCATCGAAGCCCCCGGTGCGACTATATGCTGAAAAGTATGTTTCCTCTATCAGAAAAGCATAATGCAGCAGAAAACTTTAGAATTTAGCAAACAAGAATTGGAAGAGTGGCCTGGAATAAGACCGGCTACTTGGAGAAGTAGCCTGAAAAAAAAGCATTGCATTAGGCCAATAGCCCTAAACCCTAAACACTAAACCCTAAACCCTAAACCCTAAACCCTAAACCCTAAGCCCTAAGCCCTAAGCCCTAAGCCCTTTCTTAAGCAAACAGTAGCTTAGTGTGAGAGCGTCTGCTAAGGCTCCTGGATGCAGGGCTATTCGCCTACGCTGCTTAGAGACGTGCCGTTTAGCGCGCTCTACTGGATGCTCGGCCACGGTGTGTTTAGGGTTTAGGGTTTGGGGTTTAGGGTTTAGGGTTTAGAGTTTGGGGTTTAGAGTCTGGGGTTGCTGTGTTCTGGGTTAGGAGCATGGGAGGGAAGGGTGAAAGTTGGCACGCTCTGCTGCCATTGTTGTTTGAGAATCGGGCTGTTCATACCCTAAACCCTACACCCTAGACCCTAAACCCTAAACCCTAAACCCTAAACCCTAAACCCTGCAGCGCCGTGCATCTCCACTGTTCTTTCAGAGTACTGGCCAAGGCTGGCGTACGAGTCGATCAAGAAGGAGGTACCGCCCCCTTCCAGGACATTTCATCATCGGCCCAAGGGTTTGGGGTTTAGGGTTTAGGGTTTAGGGTTTAGGGTTTAGGGCTTTCCGGGTTGTTTAGCCCTAATCCACAAGGTCTAGTCTTAGCAGAATGTCCGTACGGGCTCAAGGCTTTCACGTGTGTAGGGCTGAGGGCTTTAGGGCTCATGTTGGTGAGGGCTTATTTCTACTGTATGGCTTAGGAGTTATAATATGATTGAGGGCTTCGGTTTACAGTAGGGCTCCTGGGCCGCTTTGGATAAGGGCTCACAGGCTTGATAACGGCTTACGGCTTAGGATGATTTCTGCGGTGCATCTCTCTGAGTGCAGGTTCACAGAAACTAGGATCCGGTGTAGGCCCTTATTCCCTTATATTATAATCCCCTTAACCAAAAAGTGCACCCTTTTATTCCTAGGTTACTCCTGGGTTATGAAATCTGTGATTTCTCAGTTTGGTGTTTGAGGGGTCGAGGTTTGAGGCATCCCCCGATTCATTCGTAGTACTTGGTAGTGGCCTGCCCTGCTGGCGTGACGCAGTGTGCATCACATGCACTTTGATGTACGGGGGCGTGGACTGTATGGTTTCCTTTCGAGGAGAGCGTGCCCAAGCTATGTGAATCTGCATTCCGATAGCTGAAGGCTCGCCAAATAGTTCTTGATCCTTTCTTCCTTGTCTAACATGCGGAGCAAGCGTGCCAGCATTTTCGCAATGGGCTGGCTGGCAGCGGTGCTGGCCACAGTGAACCTCGAAATCGTCACGATAGTCACCCCGCCCCTTCTTCCGATGTCAAGGGAAGGCCTTCTTCGTGCCGCTTGTACCCGCCCAAGACCCATGCCACCGCCTGATGAGAAGCCCATGGAAGGCAAGAGGTACATGGCAGCAGTGTCCGATGTACTTATTAGGCAGGTCTCACAGCCCGTCACCTTTCATCGTGCCGAGTATCTCTCCAAAGTGATCACACACCTCCCAGAGGAGGGCATGAGACATGGCCAGCAATTTCCATGTGAACACCTGCTTTTCGCGGGCGGAAAGTGCGCATCCATCTGGAACACGCACGACCCAGTAGGGACAGATTATTCAAGCTCGTCGTGGATCGGGGCATTGCTGTCATTTGTCGCGCAGTACCTGCATAGCGACAAGTTTGACAGAGCTAACACGAGCGAGATCATGGCCATTCGGGTGGTTTTGAATGACCTTCAAAAACAACTGGACTTCGCTTGTCGAGATTGCAGCATCGCAGATGGCACAACAGCTCTTCCAGTCCAAGTCGAGCTGTTCATTCACGCATGCTTCTTCTCTCTCTGCGCAGCAGCAGTCAGTGGCGGCCTGTCAGCTGTTTGTGCCAGACACATGCTTCAGCAGTATCACGCTGACTTTGCGAGATACAGAAACTTGGATGTCTTCCTCATTGGTGCATGCATTGCCTTTACGAGTGTTGGCTGCCTCGACAGTTTGAGCCTTGTGAACCTGCACGACACTGTGCGTGTAATCCTGCAGGGCTTCGTCGCAGGCAGTGCAGGTTTTGTGGCCGCGGCAGAACGACTTCGGCAATGAGAGCAAGTAATTAGCAGGTAAGTCAAATTCACGGTGGCCCCGCAGGTTCAGTGCTTAAACCATATGCGGTTTTGCCATGCTTTTAGCTATGTGTTTGCATGCATCTACGCGCTTGTGGTACTGAGCGTGCATTGCAGAATACCTTCTCATTGAGACGTGCATCCTTCTGCGAGATCAGAAAAGGAGAGCTTGGTGTTGAGTTGCGTTGGAGGTCACCAGTTACGCATTCCCAAACCCAGCAAGGAAAACATGCGTAGCGCGATGCCATGTTCGCAGGAAGGTGGTTCGCATCCAAGTCACGGAGTGCGAGTGCCAGAAGTACTCAGCTGAATCTGTGGATTCCTATGAAAAAAGCGGTGTATTAGGGTAAAGCAGACAGTGTGGTTGATGCGCTGCAAGCAACCAACACAGCAGCAAAAGCACAACAAGCAAGGGTACTAGCGCTAAGATGCAGCATTTCAGGAGGAGCAGCAGCATGCAAGCCATGAAGCTGATGCTTCCACTCGCGATGCAGAAGCCGCAGACGCTGAACCCTAAACCTTAAACCCTAAAAGCCTAAACCCGAAACCGCAGTCTGCAAAAAGGAATCAGCAAGGCCACGCTCTCTCAAAGCATGCTCTCGAACATTGTCTTATGAGCACAATCTCGCAATGTTCTTGCGCTTTCCTGATTTGGTTTAGGGCTCAGGTTTAGGGTGCTCAAAGTGAGAATCGTCGTGTCGCACAGTCGAAGCTTTGTTAATCTTTGCTCCCGGACCTTGTAGAAAAGGGAACCGACGCAAAGGCTAGCCCTAAACCCTACACCATCAACCCTCAACCCTAAACCCTAAACCCTAAACCGCGCACCCGTGAGGATTCCAAGCGAGGGCTTGCGGACCCTGACCCACTCCTTCATCTGCGGTGGCATCGCAGGCAGGAGCCACCTCAAGAAGCCTCGCAGGTGCCCTAAACCCTAAACCCTAATCCCTAAGCCCTAAGCCCTAAACCCTAAACCCTAAACCCTAAACCCTAAACCCTAAACCCTAAACCCTAAACCCGTACCCTAAACCCTAAACTCTGAACCCTGAACCCTAAGCCCTGTAGTTATATGGGCCCTTAGTACGGTCCCTTACCTTCTTCAAAGGGTTGTGATGTGTGGGCCCTTGGGTTGTTTAGGGTATCGAATGGGTAAATATGGGGTCCCCTTGTAAGGGCCATGCTAAGGGACCATGTAACTACCCTAACAAGCTGCGTTGCTGCTCAGGAACCTCATGACACGCCCAAGGTTAAGGGCAGTTTAGGGTTTAGGGTTCAGTGTTTGGGGTTGAAACCCTAAGCCTACAGCGTAAACCCCTAAGTGGGCACAGGCATGATGGCCGCCTTGGTGACTTGCCCGATTGACGTCATCAAGACTCTCGGCCATCAAGAGCCAGTTGAAGTTATACGTTTATGGTTATATTGTCATATTGCTATATTGTTAAGTTAAGTTATATAGTTATACTGTTATACCTGTATGCTTTTATGTTGTGATTTTGTCATATTGGTTAGGGGTGCTTCGTAACCCTAACCCTAAACGTTTGCGTCCCCAGGACTCTGCGACAAAAGACGCTGACGGGGGCCGAGCGCAGCTTGACGAGCCTTGCTCGCGATGCCCTGTTTTAGGGTTTAGGGTTTCGGGTTTAGGGTCCAGGGTTTAGGGTTTAGGGTTTAGGCTTGAGCGGAAACAACACCTACATCTGCGGTTTCGGGTTTAGGGTTTAGGGTTTTGGCAGGTGCCACCTGAAACCTTGCATGCCCAGCTTGGCCATCAGGAGCAGCATGCCGGCATCCGAGTCCTACAAAGCCGGGCGCTTACTGGGGTGAAGCCAACCCCCAAACCCTAAACACCCTGCACCCCTGACCCCAACCCTAAACCCTAAACCCTAAACCCTAAACCCTAAACCCTAAACCCTAAACCCTAAACCCTAAACAACAGGACATCATCCGATTCCTCGTGGCCCACCCCAAATCGAGCTTCAGCGGGGTCGGCCCTCGGTTGCTGCGGATACCCTTGGGCGGCTTGGACTGCTCTGAACTGAGAAGATATCATGAATATGATTTTATATGTATATATACATATATACACATATGCAAGCATGTATATATATATATATGTATTTGTGTGTGTATTTATTTATGCTGGTTATCTACATATACATGCGTGTATATATATATATATTCATTTATTTATGTATATACCAGATGTAATAAAGTATCAGGGCTTTTTCATGTTCTGGTACCTTTAACTAAGCGAGATAAGGATTTAGGCGGGGTCCAAGGAAGAGATCCGAACCCATCGGATGTTTGCGTTCGCTAAAAAGGCCGAAGCCGTAAATCCTAGACCCTGAACCCTAAATCCCATTTCCTAAACCCCCCCTAAACCCTAAATCCTAAACCCTAAACCCTAACAATCGCTGCAGGTATGGCAACGATGATGTCGGGGATGGAGACCACAAAGTGGGCCTTTGAGTGGCGCAGGCAGAGCAGGTAGGGTTTAGTGTTTAGGGTTCAGGGTTTAGGGTTTTGACATTTCCTTCCCACTGACATGGAGCTTTCCCCGAAAGATAAGGTTTTATGGTTTTGAGAAGCCTGTAAAACGTAATCATGTTTTTTTGTTTCTCTATAGGGTCCCGATAGCTCAGGGGCAGCGCAGGTGGCCCTGATATGTCTAAAGCCCTAACTGCAACACCCCCCCCCCCCCGCCCCCCACATGCAAGGTCCCCACTTGCGGGAGGCTTCAACACAAGGATGCCACGCTTGAAAATCTTCTAATCCCTAAACCCTGAACCTAAAAGCCCTAAAGGGTTTGGGGTGACAGCAACCCGGAGTCCTAAACCCTGAAAGATCCTAAGCCCGAGAACCCTCAGGTGTTGAGGTTTTCGGGCTTACTTGGAATCCCCTTTTGACATAGCAAGCCTACCTCGTATCCCCTAGAAACACGATAATCATCCCGATAACTTAACCCAACTTCCTACAGCAGTCTCCATACCTTCTTGCAACGGCCTTGGGAACGCCCAGTATTGAATCCAACATCTGCGCCTGCACCTTAAACCCTCAACCCACCACTTTCTCATCGAAGCCAGACGCACAACCCCTAAACCCGTCAGCCCTAAGCCCTAAGCCCTAAACCCTCGTTTCACTCGCGCAGCGTGGCTCTTGCATGCTTTTCGGCTCGACGTGGCCAGTTCCCTCGATGGCTCCGTGGTTGAGCCCCTTATGTCAGTGTTTTTAGCGCAAGAAGCCGCATAAGAATGCCCGCACATCCCCCAACAGAACAGGCCCTATCTCAGAAAAAACCAAACAGGGCCAGGGATAAAAGTCGGGGCCCTAGTATGGAGCCCCAAGAACAATAAAAGCCCTAGATGTATCTATCGATCTATCTAAATATAATATACATATATATATATATATACATATATATATATATATTCATATATATATATATAGAATTTATTTATTTATTTCTTTCTTTCTTTATTTGTTTATTTATTCATTTATATGTTTTTAAAAATATTTTATTTGTTAATTTTAAGTATTCATTTGGTTATTTGTTTACATGTGTATATATATATATATATATGTATATATGTATATATGTATATATGTATACACGCACATGTGTATACATACCTTGTCCGCGAGGCTACACCGAAACCCCACTAAGCCAGTTGGGGTTTAGGGTTTAGGGTTCAGGGTTCAGGGTTTAGGGTATGGTTTAGGGTTTGGAGCATTCCCGTGCTGGTTTTGCATATTTGCTGTTTCTCGGTTGTCTTCTTCTGGATTCTGGAGCCCTCATAGATACTGAGAAGCGCCATTTCCTGCTGTTCTAGGTAGGACCTTGGGACACTTCATGTGTTCCCTTACTGAGTTTAAGAGGATCATATTCATGAATATTTTCCAGTGGCTTGGAGGGCCAACCTAGTGTTGACAAAGCTTTGGCATGCAGAGCTAAGATCTGTGGCTTTAGAGTTTACGTTTGATTTTGCTGGCTTGCTGGCTCATGCCATGACGTTTTTGTAAAGCTTGGCCTGTTCCTGTCTAAGCATAGTTCAGCACACCCCCAAACCTGCACCCCATAGCCGTTAAAAGGAGAATGCAAGGATGGATGTTTTCCATACCCGTTGCCCTAAACCCTAAACCCTAAACCCTAAACCCTAAACCCTAAACCCTAAACCCTAAACCCTAAACCCTAAACCCTAAACCCTAAACCCTAAACCCTAAACCTAACCCTAAACCCTAAACCCTAAACCCTAAACCCTAAACCCTAAACCCTAAACCCTAAACCCTAAACCCTAAACCCTAAACCCTAAACCCTAAACCCTAACCCTAAACCCTAAACCCTAAACCTTTACGGGAATGGCAACGGGGGTATGTTGAACATTTCTCAGATGCGGGAGCTGGCCCCTCATGCACCCTGCCTCGTCGACTTTTCGACCGCGCGCGTCGAGGTGAAAAGACTACTTGGAGGTTCATGGGGCTTACGAACCACTTAATAGCTGTACTTAGAACCCTACTTATAATACCCCTAAAGGGCCTTATAGGGGTTATCCCAATTATAAGTAGGGTTATAAGTTCACCCATGAACCTCCAAGTAGGTCTCCCACTGGTCCCTTTTTCTCTTTTTGGGGTCTTAGGTTCCTTATGAAACTGCCCAATACCAAAAAGGGAGCCCTTGTGATTCCTAGGTGACTGGGGATCCTAGAAGAACAAGGAAAACATGCCGAGCCCTCAACAAGGAGCCCAAGAAAGATTGAGGTTAGGATGTTCCCCACAGTCCTTAATAGGGATTCTAGTACCCCCCCCCCCATTAGAATCCCTAATAAGGACTGTTAGCACAGCGGGGAACATCCCAAGATTGAGTTTCTAACCCTAAACCAAAAACCCCATTCTGGGGACCAAATGAACCCGAAAATGGCGGTCATTTACCCTATACGATTATCGTTCTTATTAAGGTATATGAACCATAAACCCTTTTAGGGTTCATTTGGTCCCCAAGGTAAAGCTTTAAAAAACCCTGAAGCCTGAACCCAAAGCTGAGAGAACAGCATCAAAGCCAATGCTTGCGAGCACTGCGTGAGCTTTGCCCTAAACCTTTGGTTTAGGGGGTGCTTGGTTGAAGGTTTAGGGCTGTAATGTCTAGGGCTTTCAGGGTTTTAGGGATTTAGGGTCGTAGGGGTCTAGGGCTTCAGGGCTCTTTTTGTTTTTGAGGGGGGGGGGGGGGGGGGGGGTTCGGGTTTTCAGGGTTTTCAGGGTTTTCAGGGTTTTCAGGGTTTTCAGGGTTTTCAGGGTTTTCAGGGATTTCAGGGATTTGAGGGTTTAGGGTTTAGGGTTTCGGGTTTAGGGTTTAGGGTTTAGGGCTTAGGGTTTAGGGTTTAGGGTTTAGGGCTTAGGTCCTGGCTGCTTAGGCACTGCCTCGTCATAGATGGAGAGCTGCTGCGCAGCCTTCCGCTGAATGTGGGGGGCCCCACGAGCCAGGGGTTGAGGGTTTAGGGTTTAGGGTTTAAAACGACTCTTTCAGAAGAAACAATGCTGGATGCTGCCGCCGCCCCCCCCCCCCCCCCCCCAATTTCAAAAGGGATCGAAATGATTTTCAAAGCGATGAGTTTATATGAGTTTGAAAGGGATCCAAGTGATCCTGAACCAGGCACCCTGAACCCATTCCTTCGTTGAGGGGCACTTCGGAGAGGTTTAGGGTTTACAGGGTTTAGGGTTTAACCGTTTAGGGTTTAGGGTTGCCGTGGTGTTGGTGCGCACCAATGTGTACACACCAGTCGCTGAGGGCGCTATCATCGTCCTGAAGCCTACAGCCAATATCTGGTGTCTTCCCAGAACATAATCAAACGGGCATGTCCCAAAATAGGGGGCCCCCTGATATACTCACTACAATACTTAACGATCCCCCCACAAAAATAGAAATGAAAAAGAAAAAAACAGAAACGGGATTCTCGACTATGAGTCCTAAACCCTAGAGCCTAGTATTTGGAAGCACCCGTGGCCGTTCACCTGCCTCTGAATCTGAGGTTGAAGGCCAGGATACGGACTTCGGCGTGCTTGTGCCCCAGCAAACGCTGGGCGGCCGTTCTTCCGAGGATTTAGGGAGAGCTAATCCCAAAGCCTAAAACCCTAGTGCCCCATGATTCGGGTTTGGGTTTAGGGTTTAGGGTTCAGGGTTTAGGGTCTAGGGTCTAGGGTCTGGGGTCTGGGGTCTAGGTCTAGGGTCTAGGGTCCAGGGTTTAGGGTTTCAGCTCTTGCCCTTGGACGGCCACATCCAGCTGTCCGTGCTCTCTCAACCACACACAAGCGACCTACAGCTGTAGAGCCCTGCAACACAGGGAGTCAGGGAGTTCCCCCCCCCCCCCGTTGCTCTATCAACTGACTTTGGCAAAGAAAAACGTGCAGGCTGAGTGGTCTACTGACCTTTCGATACCCGGGCCTGCTATAACTCTACTCTGCCTATAGCTATTCGGTTTACCAAGGCCCTAGAACTGAAGAAAAGCCGTGTAAGCAAAAGAGCCTAAGCGCCAAACCCATTTTTCCTAAAGCCCTTAGCCCCGAAAACAGCTTCTATGAGGACCCAAGCCCAAGCGGAAGGGATTGAATTGGAACCCTAAACCTCCAACCCTAAACCCGAAATTCAACCTAAACCCTAAGCCTGAAATTCAACCCAAACACTATGTGTTAACACCCTAAACTGTTGCCCTAGTCCCCCCCCCCCCCCCAAACAATACTAAACATATTTTCAACACCCTACTTGGAGGTTCGTGGTACTTACTAACCAGTCATAGCTGCACTTATAACTGCATGTTAAACCCTAAACCCCAAACCCTATACCCCAAACCCTAAACCCTAAACCCTAACCCTAAAACCTAAACCCAAACCCTAAACCCTAAACCCAAACCCTAAACCCTAAACCCTAAACCCTAAACCCTAACCCTAAACCCTAAACCCTAAACCCTAAACCCTAAACCCTAAACCCTAAACCCTAAACCCCCCCCCCCCCCCAAGCAAACTCGCAAAAGGCCGGGCACGCAGAAGTCCCTCCAGGAGTACCACAGGCCGGGGTGTTTCCGGTCGTTTCAACAGGCTTTAGGGTTTAGGGTTTAGGGTTTGGCGTTTTGGGGTTTTGGGGTTTGGCGTTCAGAGTTTGGCTTTTTGGGTTTAGAGTTCAGAGTTCAGGGTTGCAGGTTTTCGTGCTTTCGGGGTCTAGGGTACCCAACGGCCTGAATCCATAACCCTAAGTTTAGCGTCTAGGCCCCCCCCGACCTCCGCTTTCGGGATTGGGTTTAGGGGTTTGGGGTTTTGGGCTTTAGGGCTTTAGGGCATTAGGGCTTTAGGGGTTTTGGGGTTTAGGGGTTTAGGGGTTTAGGGTTTAGACCCCTGTTCCCTAAACCCTGTAAACCCTAAACCCTAAGCCTTAAACTCTAGGCCTTAAACCCCTAAACCCCTCAACCCTAAACCCCCCGGCCAGCCTCTACGCCAACACGAAGTCCT